ATCGACAGGGATGGATTCTGAGGACTTCGCTCGACGTGTCAAGGAAGCAGGTCGGCACCGATAATAGCCAGTCCAAGCTGGATGCTGCTGCTATGTATTTTACGCACACACGTATCTGATGGCCCTTATGGTAAGATACGGTATTCACGGAGTGCATTCTTGAGGCACTTTAATTCGACTCTTCTAAGTGTTCAAATTCGAACTAAAATGATTCGTGTTTCGTTGGTTTGTATGGGTAGGTTTTGTCTCCGATGATCTACAGGATACTATTACCGTCTTAAATGGGCAACAGTTCTCCCGTGGGCGTGTCGATCTTCGGCATCGACACGCGTCAACTCAACCAACTCCGCATCGGTTTCGGTGGGGTTAAAGGATTCCATGATCCCCAGCCCAACACTCCTACTTCCCAATGCTTCTCAGCTCTGGTCCTCGCCCATAATAGTCGTATATATGCGTATAAGTGTCCAGAAGAGGTCTTGGAGGCTGTTCGGAGAGCTGTCGAGAAGAGTCTCATTAAAAAGGATAAGAAATGTAGTAAGGCTGATGGCTTGCACGAATTTGAATTCAATAAGTGGATCTGGGCGGCCCATGGGCAGAGCACAGTGGATGTGAGAAGATATGCTATGAACATCGTGGAGAGCTTGAGGGAAGCTGGTTGGGGTATTTTAGATGATATTGATATGTCCAGGCCATTTTTCGTGCAAGTTTGGGTACTTCATAAAATTGATCAGATGTCAGTTCGCAGTCCCCGGAGGGATATCCTCATCGGCCTTCATGACAAAAACGACTTACGTGTTGTTATGAGTCCTCAGGAAGAGCCTAATCAGCAGTATACGGTTCAGGAGGCTGTGAGGCAAGGTATTGTGAATTCATGGCAAATCAGCAGTGAAACCGACTACAGTGGGGCTTATCAATTCCAGCTGGCTGGCTCCCCCTTCTCTGCTGGTGAAAACCGCACAGTCCCGGCTAGACAGACTCTTCTGGGTGTCCTTACGGAACTGGAACGAAAGGCTGGGTATAGGCACTATAGGAGTCTGATGTTGTCTATGAACCTAGGCTGTAAGTCGAGCCTGCTGCTACGTATACCACCTCCTGATGCTCCGAAGGATAGGGGAACCTATGTGGGTATGCATCTTGATGGTGGCGGTAT